GGAGAACGATCCTCAAGGAATATCCTTCAAATGAACATGGACAAGATTCCAGCAAAGAATCCAGAAAGGGTCCCTTAATTAATTAAGTGCTGCGTATATTAAATATGCAGTTAAAACCCTACAGAAAAAGGAAGCCACTGTTGGGAGGTTGAGCATAAAAATCATAGCGAAGAAAGGATGAAACAACGATCCTTACTCTGTCTCTACTCTCTGATCGGCAGCCTGTTACAGCTGGCTTTTGGAGGTCTCCATTTTTTAAAAAAATGTGAAGTCCTCTCTGCTTAGTTACATATCCTTTGCATGTATCCAGATCCTCTGTGGTTCCGCTGCAAGCGAACAGGGATCGTGATCTCCAGAAATTTACAGCACCCTCCAAATCCAGCTCTGCTACCTCTTAATTCCTTGTGCAAAGCTCAAAATAAATTAAACGAAAGGCCAATCCTACTTAAAATTCAGGCTTCCCTCCCCAGGCTGCCAATTTCCCAGTGAATCCAATAGTCGTTAAAACTCTAAGATAGCAAATATTAAAAGGGAATTAACCTCCTTCGCCGAACAATTTTAGGAGAAAAAAAAACATTGCTAACTCCTAACTTAACAATGTTTTACGCTGCTCTGTGTTTGCTCTTCCTTAAGTCCTAAAATCATAGGCTAAGGATGTTTAACTCCAAATTCAAGCGTTGTTTGTTTGGGGGAACTGGGTATTAGCTGGTCACTTCCTCACACTGTTGCCAAAGAAACAGTAATATCTGAATAAGCAGAAATTTGAAGCAAAGCCATCCATGTTTCAGAAAGCAGAACTGTGCTTGACGTGAAATGTCTTCGCTTTTTCCTTAACCAGCAAGTCGTTTTTATGGCCGATGCCTGAAAAATTGCTTTTCTACTAAAATTCTGTACGGCTGTACTTTATAGGGGAGAAGTTTCCAGCTATCAAATTCTGAGTTCACATTAACGCTTGGGCCTTTTCACACATTTTAGTTGAAAAAGGTGCTATCAGACGCCCGGTTTTTTGACTAGAAATGATGCAACTGAAGCTAGTTGGTTTCAGTTCTTATTACTACCATGTTTCCCCTGAAAATAAGACCCTGTCTTATATTTTTTTGAACCCCAAAATAAGCACTTGGCCTTATTTTCGGGGAGGTCTTATTATTTTGGGGCGCGTGTAGCAAGATGGGGCTCCTCTTGCCGTCTTACCTGACTTCCAGCTCTGCGTTTAAATATTTATCTATTTGTTTGTTTGTTTGTTCAACTTGTATGCCGCCTTTCTCCAAAGACTCAAGGCGGCTTACAATGCATTTAAAAACCATATATAAAACATTAAAAGTTAAACCATTAAAAACAATTAAAACCCATTCACACCATTCATGGCCAGATCTCGCCAGATCGCAACAGCAAAATCAGCGGCCCCAGGCCTGCTGGAAGAGCCAGATCTTCACCGCTTTTCGGTGAATATTTTTGAGGAGAGCTTATTTTGGGGGGGGAGGCTTATTTTAGCGCATGTGCTCAAAAGCCTGATTGGGCTTATTATCAGGGGATGCCTTATTTTCGGGGAAACAGGGTACTAGGGGTCAGGGAGCGCAGGCGTGAAATTTGCACATCTCAATCAAAGGGCTCTACAAGCGAGCCTGTCCATTGGTTTCAGTACTAAAATGCTGCATCCTCGCACATCAATAAGTGCATGTCTACATTTTGCAAAGGAGAGACTTTTGGGGTTGTTGCTCCTGTTTTTGTGGAGATGGTCGGTTCAATCACACTTGAAATTTTCCATCTAACAGGCTTAGCAAATTGCCGTAAAGGTGTAGTAGTGGAAATTGCTGGAGATGTTTCCATGCAAACCTTAAAAGGCAGTTACTGTATTTTTCGGAGTATAAGACGCACCTTCTACCCCCACAAAAAAGAGGGTGAAAATCTGGGTGTGTCTTATACTCCAAATGTAGCCCTGCCCAGCTTCTCAAACAGAGGTTTCAGAGGCTGAAAAAAGCATCAGAAACGAAGCTTCAGAAAAAAAGCCCCCAAACAGAGCTTCAGAGGCTTTCTTCCTGAAGCTCTGTTCAGAGGCAGAAAAAAATGATTTTTATGAAACGGAGTTTCAGAAGTTTCAAAGGCTGCGAAAAAAGCAAGGCACAGAGCTTACAACCAAGGAACCTGTTGTTAAAATTCACCTCTGGGAACAGCTGGTTGGGGGTATTCCGGGAGGCCAATCCACCCACCAATCAGCTTTTTTCTTATTTTCCTCCCCAAAAACTAAGGTGCGTCTTATACTCTGATGCATCTTATACTCCGAAAAATACGGTAATTCAATGATGAGGCTCAGCATAAATTTCAGCTCAACTTTTAGTAGGGAGATGCACACAACGAATTGCAAGCAACGTGTGATTAAGGATCTCAGCTAGTTCAGAAGCAGATCAGAAGAACAATCTTCCTGAGAAATTTTGATGCATACATCTGAAATTACTCTCGGAATAATAGAGTTGGAAGGGACCTTAGAGGTCTTCTAGTCCAACCCCTTGCTCAACAGCCATCCCAACAAATTGGCTGCAAACACTTGGCAACTCTGCTATCAAATGCATCAAATGAGATCCAGTCCCATTTATCTAGTCATCTATCCAAATTTGCATTGTCTATTTGGACTGCCTAAATTCTCCAGAAGGATTGTGGTAGCATCCTTTCTCACTAACTCTTTCTTGGAAGTTGCAAGAGCTGAAGCTGCCTTCATTAGATGTGTTGAGTGACTATATACTAAAATAGGATTTACACTGGGATGAGTTGCTACATTAGGCAATTTCTGGATTGAATCTAAATTGGGTTGCATTCCAAGCACCTAACCTTAAATTTACAAGTGCAACAATTTGTTTAGGGAGACAAAGTTTAAGATGTAAACCAGGGAGTCTCTCCAGCAGTCAATACCCCTCTCTTCTCCCACTCCAGTTCAATCCTAATCCTAACTCTTAGGATTTAAAGGGAATCGTGGTGAGAGAATTCCTCCAAAGAGTCTTTTATTCAGTCCAAACATGAAGACAGCCAATAAAATCCTAAGAATATACATGGAGCATTGAGACTGACCCTTGGGTACAAGAATTGAAGGTGACTCCCCAAACAGCACTCTTGACATGCCAAATAGAACTTCCTCGCCATTCAAAAAGTGAACCTCACCTGGGTAATAAATCTCCTTTTTCTTCTTATTTAAGAATGACACGTCTTGGAGATCAGGTGAGGAAAAGCTACCTTTCTCTAACTTGTTACAACTTCTCCCCTACCCAACCTTCCTACTTTGAAAACTGACTCCATAAATAGCTACTGCAGATGAAGATTACCAACAGTGGTAATTTCAGATCTTAGTGCCTTCTGGCCAAAAGAGACTTCTCTCATAAGAGACAAGGCTGCCATCTAATGGACCATCAATGGAAAAAGAAAAAAAAACACAACCCCAACCAGCTTGCAAAGAATGTTTTAAACAGGTGCTACACGTGGAAATCCCGTGTTTGGTTTGACAGCTTCAAAGAAGAATGAGCTTGAAGATCTTAAAGGGTTTGAGTTGTCTTATCCTACAAAGACAACTCAAACCCTTTAAGATCTTCAAGCTCATCTCAACACGTTTTAACATATAATACACAACATACTTGGGAAGTTTCTTTAAAGGGATCCTTTCTATGACTATGTTCCTGAAAGACAATTTTACACATGATTTAAAAACAACTGAAACTTAAAACAGAAAAAGAGAGAAAAAGAAAGAGGAAAGAATAAATGAAAAAAGACAAAAGGGAAGATATCTAAAGAAGTGACTTCCAATCTTCTCTTTGCAGCAGTTGCTTACCTAAGAATTGCCTTCAGAAGTTCTGGGAGCTTCATCACTGGAGGCTTTCAAGAAGAGACTGGACTGCTATCTGACAGAAATGCTGTAGGGTCTGCTGCTCGGGCAGCGGGTTGGACTAGATGGCCTATAGGACCCCTTCTAACTCTGTCAATCTGTGATTTACTATCGCCACCTTCCCAAATGACATAATCCTGGTTGCCTTCTTCCCCTAAATGGCCTCTTTTGAGGCTCCTGAAACCATCTATTCATTTTTATCCATTTTCAGCAAAATGTCCATAAAGGGTTTCCATCATTCAATTACGTTTAAGACAAAAAGTCCATAAAGGGTTTCCAATCATTCAATTACGTTTAAGACAGAAAGTCCATAAAGGGTTTCCAATCATTCAATTACGTTTAAGACAAAAAGTCCATAAAGGGTTTCCAATCATTCAATTACGTTTAAGACAGAAAGTCCATAAAGGGTTTCCAATCATTCAATTACGTTTAAGACAAAAAGTCCATAAAGGGTTTCCAATCATTCAATTACATTTAAGACAAAAAGTCCATAAAGGGTTTCCAATCATGAGGCATGAAGACCACAGGCAGCTAACGCTCCAAGCAGCAGGTGTCCCAAAGATGCTTTTTCCAAAGGCAACTGGACTTTCTTCTTTTATTTTTGTTCCTTGAAAACATTTCACTTCTTATCTAAGAAGCTTCTTCAGGTCACAGTCACGCACAAGAGTTGAATAATGATTGTTTAATTCAATAAAACATTTTTTTTTAAAAAAAAAGAAGCTTCTTCAGTTCACTTCTTGGATGAGAAGCAAAATGTTTTCGAAGAAAAACAAACAAACAAGAAAGTCCAGTTGCCTTTTGGAAAAAGCACCTTTGGGGCAGACCATGTCCTGAATGACGGAGAATCTCCATAGACAAGCAGCAGGTGGGATTTTTAGCAGTGGCACGGGTGCAAAACTCAAAATTAAAAAATGAAATGAAATGAAACATGGCAGCTCCCAGGGAAGTTGAAGGGAGGGGAAAAGAGTTGGGCAGCTATTCTGGAACCAGCTAATTCAAATGTTTTCTGGTGAAAGTCCTCTGAAGATGTTCTCTGTTGAGGGTAAAACTGCCGTCTGCTAGGTAGTGCAACGGACCAGACAGCGAATAGATACGATGCTTAGCAAAACACACAGATAGTCACAGACTCTGAACGTTTAAAGAAAAATAAACAGTCTTTACTTGTAGTAAAAAAACAAACTTGGCTTCTCAAAACAACTTCTTCAAACAATCACGGTTTAACACAAAACATAGTTTGCTTACAATTCCAGTTCTCTTCAAACACAGACACAGTTCCTTCCAGCAGTTCAACCTTCAATAGCAGGAGCAGGAGCAGAAGTGAGCGAACTTCCTGCCTTCTTTTATGTCTGCTTAGCACAGCCAATTAGTCATCTTTGTAGCAGTTAAAGTTACAGAACATAGTTTTCTATATATTATCTACCCAACCGTAGGATAAGCATCCTACATTCTCCACCCACTCAACTCCAGAAAGTTGACCTGAAATCTGCAGTCCTCCAAACAATTCAACTGGCCTTCACTTCCTGTTTTGGAGAATTGTCCCTTTTCCCTGCTCTATAAAGGAAAGTTTCAGAAACCAAAATCAGGCACTTCATACGCTGGAATCAGAGGCCAAGGAGGGACCATTTTTGTCCTTCAAAACTTTCGAATAAAGAGCTTCCACATTTTCTCCCTGTCGCACGCCAGGAGCTGGCTTGCTCTGCGGTGAGAAATACACTGTAGAGGGGGCCTCCCCAGGATTTGTGGCTAGAGAATAAACCGTTTCTGGTCCATTTAGGTCGTTGTGGCTGGAAACAGCATATGGGGAACCTGGAAGTGAGAAAAAAGACAAATATGTTTCATTTTTATTTTTAAAGTAACTTTGAGACTGCAACCAAACTGGGTGAATGGAAGACGTAGCTGGTGAACAGGTTAAGATTGTTTCGTTTTGAATTTGTTATTAAAAGAAAACTTTTGACGGGCTTTGCCTGCGTGGTATTAGCTGATGCTTCAGTGCATTATCAAAAGAATAAGTATGCTTTGCAAGAATGCCTTGAACTCAATGCTGATCATATCCATTAAGTGGGCCTATGAAATATCTCGGTATTTACATCCCAAATACCCTGTTTCCCCCAAAATAAGACCTCCCCTGATAATAAACCCAATCGGGCTTTTGAGCGCATGGCAATAAGGCCAAGCGCTTATTTCAGGGTTCAAAAAAATATAAGACAGTCTTATTTTCAGGGAAACACGGTACCTACCTGTCTGTCTGTCTGTCTGTCTGTCTGTCTGTCTGTCTGCCTGCCTGCCTGCCTACCTACTGACCTACCTATCTACTTATCTACCTATCTACCTATCTATCATTTATCTATCTCTATCTATCTATCTATCTATCTATCTATCTATCTATCTATCTATCTATCTATCTATCATTTATATCTATCTATCTATCTATCATTTATATCTATCTATCTATCTATCTATCTATCTATCTATCTATTTTACCTACCTACCCTGTTTCCCCCAAAATACAGTAAGACAACCCCTGATAATAAGCCCAATCGGTCTTTTGAGCGCATGGTAATAAGGCCAAGCACTTATTTCAGGGTTCAAAAAAATATAAGACAGGGTCTTATTTTCAGGGAAACTAAGGATATGATATTTGTTTCAAAACAACCATTTGAAATTAAATGTAATGGAAAGAAGAGTTGACTTACAATCTTCTGTAGCCACTGTAGTCTGGTCTCTAAATAAAAGAGATTATTTTAAAATCATTTTGGGGTAAAGGGAAAAATACAATTTCGATTCAATGGTAGGATAGGCAAATACCTTTGTTGACTTTCCAGTGGCTTTCCTGGAACAAAATATTTAAAAAGATATAGTGAATGTTGTACATTTCAAATGCTTTTTCCCTTCCCCAAATTGCAAGTTTTCCTTTGACACCATCCTGGTCTGATCATTCCTTTTTACCTTTTGCTTTTTTCTTGCAGCACAAGAACAAAATTATCCCACTCATCAGAAGCAGAGCTGCCGCAATGGCTGCTAGGAAGATCTTCATATCGATGTTTGAGTTGTGTGGCGATGCTTAAAAAAAAGAGAAACGCAAAATTCATTCTAGCGTAGTCAAAAAGGGGAAATGATCACTTCAGGGCATGTTTTAGGAAGCAAACGGGGGAAGTTTCTGAAGCAGAATGCCATGTGAGAAAACATTTGTAACTCGGGGTTGGACTGGGGCGGGGGGTCCTTGGTGCTCTCTGAGTATGGGGGTGGGTTTTCTTGCAGACATTTCACGACCCAACTAGGTAACATGATCAGTGCCAGAAGGGAATGGAGCTTGTGAAGAGAAGAATGGAAGTCAGAGCCATTCTTTGCGAGGAGGAGGAGGAGGAGGAGGAGGAGGAGGAGGAGGAGGAGGAGGAGGAGGAGGAGGAGGAGGAGGAGGAGGAGGACTGTAGTGTCCTTGGTGCTCTCAGAGCTTGGTTGTTTTCTTGAAGACGTTCCATAATCCAACTAGGGAACATCATCAGAGCTAGAAGGGAGTGGAGTTTGCAGAGAGGAGGACAACAACAACAACAACAACAACAACAACAACAACAACAACAACTTTGGGGTCTTTAGTGCTCTCTAAGCTTGGCTGTTTTCTTGCAGATGTAAGGCAACATCGCCAGTGCTAAAATGGAGTGCAGTTTACTCTCGCCAAAGCGAAACCTAAACACCTCCTTGCCCACAATCAACACCCAGATGAGCAGAGATTGACATCAACGTTAAGAGAAGACCAAGAAGTCAACAGCACCCCAGTGAAGGAACTACCAACTCAAGACAACTAGCTAACAGTGAAGAAAAGCATCAACAAGGAACCACCAAGAACACTGAAAGGACAAGCCACTCTATATAAATAGAGAGCAAACCTCACTCTCTTCTAGCACTGATGATGTTACCCAGTCGGGTCATGGAATGTCTGCAACAGTGGAGGGATTCAGCCGGTTCTGTCCAGATCACGCGAGCCAGTAGCAGTGACTGCAGGAGGCTTCCCCCAGCCGCCTGGATGTAATGCGCGACAACTGCACATGCGTGAACTCACATTTGCGAACCGGTAGGGAAGGTAAGGGAATCCCATCTCTGGTCTGCAAGAAAACAGCCAAGCTCAGAGAGCATCAAGGCGCCCACAGTCCCCCTCCCTGCACACTCCACACCCTTCTAGCACTGATGTTGTTCCCTAGTTGGGTCATAAAACATCTACAAGAAAACAAGCAAGCTCAGGGAGCACCAAGGAGCCCATAGTCATCGTCCTCCTTCTCTTTCTCCTCTCCACAAACCCCTCTCTCCTAGCACTGATGATGTTACCCAGTTGGGTCATGAAATGCCTGCAAGACAAGAGCCAAGCTCAGAGAGCACCGAAGAGCCCTCATAATCGGAATTTGTGGGACACATTTCAATGCTCGGTTCTCACCCTTTGAAACTCACCTTCCATCACGTTCACAGATATCCTGCGTTCTATTGTCCACGTGTATCTTTTATTATAAGCGGCCACCACACAAAAGTAGCTTCCTTTATCGGCCGTGGTGCTGTTGGTGATTGTAACTACATGTGTCTGGTTTCGATGTTGATCTCTTGAAATTGTGTGGCTCTTGATTCGTCGGTCTCTGAATGAGTCATCAATACAGCAGTTGAGATCGTAGGAGATGTTAAAGGGAGTGCCGCAGTCTTCATTTGAAGCCGAAAAGAGGCACTTGTTCGGTTTCGTTCCTTTAAACCAATACACAGCGAAAGTGGATGTGCCCTTTCCCAGCTCAAACTCACAGGAAAGAATTAAGTTTTGCTTTTCCTTAATGGAGACCTTTTCCTCTGCTTTCCTACGAACGTTTTCAGAACGATGCTCTGCAGTGCAAAACAGGAGAAAGGGTTGAGATGAGAGGCATATTTTTGTCAAGTTATGGACCCACAACATTCTTGTCTTATTGCTGTGGCGCTTTGCATTGAATGCATCTCCTTCGATCCCAGGGTCCTATTTTTATTTTTATTTTTATTTTTTTGGAAAGAGGGAGTGGAAAACCCATTGCTGTTTTGCAGGTTGGTGTGGTCCTTGTGTTACAGCAGGGGCCTACACGACCTTGGCACCTTTACGACGTGTGGACTTCAACTCCCAGAATGCTGGCTGAGGAATTCTGGAAATTGAAGTCCACACGCCAAGGTTGGAGAACCCTGTCTTATAGGATATTTCATTTCATTTTCATTTTATTAAATTTATATACCGCCCTACTCCCGAAGGACTCAGGGCGGTGAACAGCCATAAAATAAAACATGTAGATACAAAATTTAAAATAGAGATAAAACTAATTAAATAAATTTGGCTGAGACATTTTAAAACCCCAATAAATTAAAACCAAATTTAAAATTCCATTTAAAAAGAGGAAAAGTTTAGGTCAGGCCAGCTTGATGGAATAAAAACGTCTTAAGCGCACGACGGAAGGTACGCAGATCCGGAATCCTCCGTATCTCCGGGGGGAGCTCGTTCCAGATCGTCGGTGCCCCCACAGAGAAGGCTCTTCCCCTGGGGGCCGCCAGTCGACATTGTTTGGCCGACGGCACCCGGAGGAGCCCCTCTCTATGGGAGCGTACTGGTCGGTGGGAGGCTATTGGTGGCAGCAGGCGGTCCCGTAAATAGCCAGGTCCTAAGCCATGGAGCGCTTTAAAGGTGATAACCAAGACCTTGAAGCGCACTCGGAAGACCACCGGGAGCCAGTGCAGCTCGCGCAGGAGAGGCGTTACATGGGAGCGCCACGTTGCTCCCATCACCACCCGCGCAGCCGCACTCTGCGCCAGTTGGAGCCTCCGGGTGCTCCTCAAGGGGAGCCCCATGTAGAGAGCGTTACAATAGTCCAGACGGGAGGTGACGAGGGCATGAGTGACCGTGCGTAACGAGTCCCGATCCAGAAAGGGACGCAACTGGCGAATCAGGCGGACCTGATGAAAAATCCTCCCGGTCACGGCCGTCAAGTGCTCTTCTAAAGACAGCCGTGAATCCAGGAGGACACCCAAGTTGCGAACCCTCTCCGTGGGGGCCAATGCTTCGCCCCCAATAGTCAGCGATATCATTCTTCCTTTATGGATGGCCTCTGTGTGCAAGTCGGATTTAACTTGTAAACTCTCTAGCTGTGGGGTCCTTGGTCCTCCTCCTCCTCCTCCTCCTCCTTGGTGATTCACCTGAAAACATTTCCTGCAAACATTTCATTACCCAACTAGGGAACATCATCAGGACTGATGATCATCACCAAGCCACCTGTACATAAAAAGAGAGTAAACCCCACTCTCTTCTGGCACTGAATATGTTACCTAGTTGGCAGTGGTGAAATTCAAACTTTTTTACTACCGGTTCTGTGGGCGTGGCTTAGTGGGTGTGGCGTGGCTTGGTGGGTGTAGCAGAGGAAGGATACTGCAAAACCTCCATTCCCACCCCACTCTGCAACCAGCCAGAGGTGGTATTTGCCGATTCTTCGAACTACTCAAAATTTCCGCTACCGGTTCTCCAGAACCTGTCAGAACCTGCTGGATTTCACCCCTGCTAGTTGGGGTCTGCCTGAAAACCACCAAGATCAGAGACTACCAAAAACTCTCCAGTTCAACCTTGAGCTACAAATATTCTCTTCTGTTAAAAGTCTCTAGCTGGTTCCCAAAACGCACCCAACCAAATTGATTCTCTAAACCAGACTTTTTCAGGTCAGCAGAGTCAAATAAATCATTTTTTTTTTTATATTTCTCAGGTTCAGTTTCTATTACAGCAAATATCAACTGATATGGCTTGCCTCAACTGTAGTTCTTCAGTCATTTCTGAGAATTGCAACGGGGGTCCTAAGACCAAAACATTTGAGAATGGTTGATCTAAACTATCAAAATGACTTTGACTTTGATTCCTGCCAAATGTGGGGGGGAGGAGGGAGACTTCTCACCTGTTGGGCTGTTTCTTGCTACAATAAAGAAATTGAAATTCGTGCAGTTGTCTTTTGAAGAAAATACAGGGTTTTCATTTTCCTGGATCTGATGCTCCATTTGGGTTTTGCATGCAAAAATTCCACCACCGGAGAAATTGCTCAGGGAAAGATTGTTGGGGCACTTTTCAAAGTTTGGAGAGTGAGTTTGGAGAATCCCATCTGGATAGTAGCACCCCCGTTGAAATATTTGCAGAGACGTCTTGTGCTGCCCAATCCACCAAGTAGCATTGTCTCCCCCAAAGGACTGATTGCAGGTCAGAGTCATATGTTCACTGTCATACTGGTGAAAGAAAGTGGCACCTAGGGTAAGAAAAACAGAGACAGGTGGAAATATTAACTCAGAACTCCCGTCAGTCTCCAGCATATTCCTCTTCCCCCTCCTCCCCATGGATTGGTTCAAGGGACCTTGGAGGTCTTCTAGTCCAACCACTTGCTCTAGCAGGAGATCCCATACCATTCCTTGGTGGCACAGCAGACTAAAGTGCTGTTAAGTAGCACCAGTTGCCTGCAATTACTGCAAATCTCACCAGGCTCAAGGTTGATTCAGCCTTCCATCCTTCCAAGGTAGGTAAAATGAGGACCCGGATTGTGGGGGCAATAAGATGACTTTGTATAAAAAAGAACACCGCTTGGGGGGCCCCCGAAAGCTCTACTAAGCAGGTATATACAAAAGTATGAGGGCTATTGCTTAAAAAAGCATTGTAAGCCATCCTGAGTCTCCGGAAAAGGGCGGCATATAAATCAAACTAATAAATAATAAAATAAATAAATTCCAGACAAATGGCTGTCCAATCTCTTCTTAAAAACCTCCAGTGATGAAGCACCTACAACTTCTGGTGGCAAGCCGTTCCACTGGTCAATTGTCCTCCCTGTTAGGAAATCTCTCCTTCATTCCAGGTTGCTTCTCTCCTTGATGAGTTTCCATCCGTTGCTTCTTGTCCTGCTTTCAGGTACTTTGGAGAATAATTTGATCCCCTCCTCTTTGTTGCATCCCCTCAAATACTGGGAGACTGCTAACATGTCACCCCTAGTCCTTCTTTTCTGTAGACTAGCCATACCCATTTCCTACCAAATTCTTCATATGTTTTAGCCTCCAGGCCTTTAATCATCTTAGTTGATCTTCTCTGGACTTATTCCAAAGTCTCAACATCTTTTTTGTAACGTGGTGACCAAAACTGAATGCAAGATTCCAGGTGTGACCTTACTAAGGCTTTACAAAGGGGTTCAAAGGTCATCTGTGAGTCCAGGAAAACACCCAAGCTGTGCCCCACTCCTGAATAAGGAATTGCTACCCCATTGGGAAGAAAAGATAATAAATATAATCCTAGACTTTCAACAGTTCATTTAGTGACCTTTCACATTTACAACAGCGCTGGGAAAGAAAATGACTTGTGACCTTTTTTCACACTTAATGACCGTTGCAGCATCCCCATAAGTCACGGGGATCAAAATTTGGCAACTGACTCGTATTTATGACCGTTGTCGTGTCCCTGGGGTCCCGTGATCCCCCTTTTGCGACTTTCTGACCAGCGAAGTCCAGATTCACTGAACAGCCGTGTCACTAATTGAACAGCTGCTGTGATTCACTTAACAACGGTGGCAAGTAAGGGCGTAAAATGGGGCAAAACTCACTGAACCAATGAATTTAGCGAAATCTCCCAAACGGCTGTCTCGCTTAGCAACAGAAATGTTGGACTCGGTTCTGGTCGTACGTCTGTCAATCCAAATGAAGACCACACCCAAAAATGTATCTCCAAAGTCAAAGAAAGATCAAATTCCAAATATAAAGGCAGCAAAAAGACCCCTAAGGCAGTGTTTCTCAACCTTGGAAGCTTGAAGATGGGTGGACTTCAACTCTCAAAAATCCCCCAGCCAGCGCTGCTGGCGGGGGATTCTAGGAGTTGAAGTCCACCCATCTTCAAGCTTCCAAGGTTGAGAAACACTGCCCTAAGGAAAGGCTGTGCCTTCCTCTTTCTCTCAGCTCCAAGTGCTTCCTGTAGATCCCACATCCCGAATTCTACCCCGTGACAAATTCCCAGCAGGAAAAAGAAATGCCACCCAAGGAACCAAAGCAGGAGGCAGGATGAGAGCCCTACCGGCAGCTTCTCTCAGCAACAGGAGAGCCAGGAGGCAGCGCGAAATCCTCGCTGCGAAGCAAAGCATCTCTTCGTTCCCCACCTTCCTTCAGATCTCGAAAGCTGCTTGGGTACAGGAAAAAAAGAGGAAGTTCTGCCTACGCTGAAGGTCGGGGGGGCCAAAAATAGGAGCAGCAGGAAATGCATGAACGTTCATGAAACTGACATTTTTGTTCTCCTTGCACTTTCAAAACCGCCGAGGGGCTGGCATCAATGCCACGCCCAAGTCCTTTAGAAAAATAGAAGTCAGAGCCATTGTCTGCTAGGAGGAGGAGGAGGAGGGGAACTGTAGCATCTTTGATGCTCTCTGAACTTGGTTACTTTCTTGCAGATGTTTCATTACCCAGCTAGGGAACATCATCAGAGCTAGAAGGGAGTGGAGTTTACAAGGAGGAGGAGGAGGGGAACTGTAGCATCTTAGCTGCTCTCTGAACTTGGTTCCTTTCTTGCAGACGTTTCATGACCCAACTAAGGAACATCATCAGTGCTGTAAGGGAGTGGGATTTACTCTCTTTAGTTGAGGTACCTTCCTGCTGGGATTTACATTTACTTTGCATTGTTTAAAATCCCTAGAGGCCAAATGCAGCTTATGACGATTCAAATGCCAAAGAGGTTACCTGGATCAGCCACTAGAGGGCGCAGCGATATTTCTGCCCTTAACCTTCTAAAAGAATTATGAGAATTGAAGTGAGTCTTCAATTAAATTAGGGAAATACCAAATATTGTGTGCAGAAAAACCAGCCTGCATACAAACAGTGATTCGGAGGGTTTTAAAGATTGGTATAACTGTTGAAACCAGAGGTTTTTCTTTGGGGATTGAGGAACAAACTGTTGGGGAAAAAAGTTACAGAATTTTCTTTTTGGCAATACAAATATTGTACATTATTTTAATGTACGAAGATGGGAACCCCGATGGAGGAGCTTTCTGGGATGGCTAAATTGACTTCCTTGATCAACAATAGGACAATATCTACTTTTTATTGGGACTAGAAACCTCTCAGGGACTTTTTTGGGGAGGGACAAAATGGAACATGATTTATGGGTTTGTTTGTTTTTTAATCAAAACCTTATTAAATTCGCAAACAAATATAAAATACAAAAAGCAAAGGGGAAAAGGGGAAGGGTAACAAACAAATTAGGGAATGTAAGTGACAACAGCAACCCAAAAACCTACAAAGAAAAAAGGAACTTTGGATTTTCTTTGATGATTAGGAAAAAAAAATAATGGTTAAAAAAAGGGAGTTATGTTGTAATCCTTGACTAAGAGATAAATATATGATTGTGCTTATAACTGTTGTAAAAAGATTGGAAGCCGCTTCTTGGTATATGTGTGTGTGTGTTTTTATCTGTTTCTTTTATTCCTCCACCCCACTTTGTTGCATTTTTAACTTTCTCTTTGATGGCTTTCTTTTCCTTATTCTAAATTAGCTTGTATCATGTATTTTTCTTTATTAAAAAAACCATTTAATCAAAATTATATCCTGCCAGAGAGGCATAAAAACAACCTGCACATTTCCTGTACCTCAGGAAATTGGTAGGGTGTCAACTTTGATGGTTTATCAGTTCGTTGTGGCTGATTAAAAAAAAAAGACTTTATGGCTTAATATGTTCTTGAATTTAACCCAGTATTTCTCAAGCTTGGCAACTTTAAGAGATAGAATAGAATAAAATGAGCTGGAAGGGACCTTGGAGGTCTTCTAGTCCAGCCCCCTGTTCAAGGAGGAGAACCTATACCATTTTAGATAAGTGGACTTCAACTCCCAGAATTCCCCAGCCAGTCAAGGAATTGAAGTCCGCACCATTTAAAGTTGCCAAACTTTGCTCTAAATTGTCCTAGAACTAAAAATATTCCATTTGAAAGCGAGTTCAGCTCATTCCATCTATAGGAACTTGTGCAGAGTCTGCAACATTTCCATATTTTCCACTTTCTTTTGTTTGACGTTTGGGAGCCTTTGAATATAAAATGATGCTGTTCACCTAACAAACACACATTTGCATTTTCCCCCGGGACGATTCACGCAGGGACGGGTGGGATGATTTGCATGGTTTTCCACTGCCTGGCCAAGTGAGGGAGGTGAGCAAGAGAGGGAGCAGGTCGAACTGAGCCAGGGAGTTGCAAACCCTTCAGGGTTGCCCCTAAGGAGAATCGGGATGGATTTGATGGTAGGCGAGAATGACCTTGGAGACAGGAGGAAGAGCTGCAGACTAGGCAATGGGTAGAGAAGGGGCAGCTGAGCCCACCAGAGGAAAAGGGGTGTGGGAAGCATCTTAGAAGGGACCCTCCCTGGTTTTCCACTGAGTAAAAGGAAAGGAGAGGAGAAACATTTGCAGAGTTGCAAGATTCGGTTAATGTAACTTGACAATTAAGATAATTGAGCTTGGCCAGAAATTGTCAAGCATCCACTGTTGGTTCTCTTTGGCTTCCTGGTACAGCGTGGAAAGGTCCAAGCCAAGCTCAAAGTGGCAATATAATCTTCAGATGCCATACACCCCTGGAGATGGCCAGGTATCTAGAGGATGTGGACCCCTCTAGTGGCCGAGATGTTGAGGAAGAAAGACAACTTAGTGCAGGATTTATCAACGTTGGCTATGTGAAGATGCAAGGACTTCTACTCCCAGAATTCCCCACCTTCCTTCTTTCTTTCCTTCCTTCCTTCCTTCTTTCCCTCCCTCCTTCCTTCCTTTCTCTTTCTTTCTTTCTTTCTTTCTTTCTTTCTTTCTTTCTTTCCTTCTTTACTTCCTTCCTCCCTCCCTCCCTTCCTCCCTCCCTTCCTTTTCTTCCTTCCTTCCCTCCTTCTCCTTTTCTTTTCTTTCCCTCTTCCCTCTCCTTCTTTCCCTTTCCAATTTCTACCTGATATACAGGAGAAACCTACCTTATGGCTACAAGCCAGTTTCTAACCAGGTTAAGGTAAAGGTTCCCCTTACACATATGTGCTAGTCATTCCCGACTCTAGGGGGCGGTGCTCATCTCCATTTCAAAGCCGAAGAGCCAGCGCTGTCCGAAGACGTCTCCGTGGTCATGTGGCCGGCATGACTCAACACCAAAGGCGCACGGAACGCTGTTACCTTCCCACCAAAGGTGGTCCCTATTTTTCTACTTCCATTTTTTACATGCTTTTGAACTGCTAGGTTGGCAGAAGCTGGGACAAGTAACGGGAACTCAACCCGTAATGCGGCATTAGGGATTCGAACTGCTGAACTGCCGACCTTTCAATCAATAAGCTCACTTAGCCACTGCGTCCCTTACCTAACCAGGTTAAAGCCTGTTAATGGCCATAACCATACACCCAAAGTAGAACTAAGACAATGCCCAATCTCCTTTTCTTAAGATTTGAACTTGGAGCCAGCCACGGTCTCCAGTCTGGTCCCAAGCCAAGTTGTCAACTCTGCAAATAAGGACATTTGATCTGATGAATGGCTTCAGCCATCCAGAAAGGTGCATGAAACACAGTAAGCAAATGAGTGTTTTGGGAAGCTGTTTAAAAAAAAAAAAGAATATACATATACATATATATATATGGTTTCCTGGGATATTCTACATCTTTTCTGGCAGGCAGGATGCAGAATCAGCCGGTGGGACTCCCGTCCTCAGGAAGGGAAAGGGAAAGGCAGCCTTCGGAGATGCTGAAAGACCTGATCTTAAGATGGTTCCTGGAGACCCAGATTGCTGTCCTGTTGCAAGAGGGCAGATTGCCAGACTGGTTCCACGGATTCCTGACCAGACAGTAAGCGAACTACCCTTTTCTGATGGAGAGAAAGCAGAATTTTAGTCCGTTGCATCTCTCTTCCAAAATAGGAGACGTGGCTTGGAAGCCACAAATATTTTAAGATTATGGAAGGTCTACCATTGTAGAATTAGTAAATCATTGACAGCATTCTTCTTCCCTTTTTTTTTTTTACTCCTCCCCCCTTTTTTTTAATCTTTAAAACATCTTCAGCTGTATTTAAAAAGGGAATCTTTGTCAAAATTCCTCTCTCGTATCAGGGAAACTGAGACGCTGCTGGAAAACAGAGAGGTTGGCTGCTTCCTGATCAGGCTGAATGAAAAAGCCTTCGGCTACATCCTTTCCTACCGGTAAGTCTCTCAGGGGTGAGAAAAGTCACCGTTCACTGTGTGAATCTTGGTAGAGCCTTGGTAGTACAGTGGTTTAAGGCACCCTGTTATTAAGCTGGTTATTAAGACCAGCTGCCTGCAATTACTGCAGGGTTCGAATCTCGCCAAGGCTCAAGGTTGACTCAGCCTTCCATCCTTTCAAAGATAGGTTAAATGAGGACCCAGATTGTGGGGGCAATAAGCTGACTTTGTATAAATATACAAAAGCATGAAGGCTATTGCTTAACGCATTGTAAGCCGCCCTGAGTCTCTGGAGAAGGGCGGCATATAAATCAAATTAAAAAAAAAATCTCCCTTTTCCCAAATCCCTTTTGGGTTGGTTTTCTTTCTTCGCACACCGATGCTCTGTGACCCTGAATTTGGTCCTTGAGAAGCTGTGAAGATGGACCTTTGGACTTTCTCCAGGTCAGCCTTCCAGCCTTTGGCTCTGTGGCAAAGAATTCCAGCAGGAGTTCAGCGAGGTGGACCTGGGATTAAATGCTCCAGTGTTGAAGAAAGTAACGAGGGCTAAGCAGATGCTACGGGATCTTTTCTAGACTGGAGGCAACTAAACTGCATGGGAAGGAAGGGAAGGAGGGTTTGCCTAATGTGCGGAAGGAAGGAAGGAAGGAAGGAAGGAAGGAAGGAAGGAAGGAGAGGAGGAGGGAGGAAGGATGGGAGGGAGGGAGGAAAAAGGGAAGGAAAAGAGGAAAGAAAGAAAGAGAAAAAGAGAAAGACAGAAAGACAAGAAAGACAGAGGAAGGAAGAGAGGAAGGGAAGGAAAGGAAAGGAAAGGAAAGGAAAGGAAAGGAAAGGAAAGGAAAGGAAAGGAAAGGAAAGGAAAGGAAAGGAAAGGAAAGGAAAGGAGGAAAAGGGAGAGAGGGAGGGAGAGAAGGAAGGAAGGAGAGGAGGAGGGAGGGAGGAAAAGGGGAAGGAAAAGAGGAAAGAA